TTGTTTGGTGTATTGGTCCAGAGCTTCAAAGAAGTCTTCTGTTTAAAGATATAAATGTGCAAGACGTGTACGTTGAGGTGGTAATTGATAGAATATCAAGTGAGAAGAGGAAAAGCCAAGACCAGGCTTTTTGAGGAAGGCCAGCATTTAAAAGCCAGGAAGAGGCAAGTGAGGCTACAAAGAACCAGAGAAGTGTCAGTCACAGCTCTTCTGTGAGGAAAGCAAAATAAGATAGCTTGGGGCGCTCACCCGCCATCTGGGTGGAGGAGCCAAGAAGACACAGAGGAATGTGGGCCAGGAAGTGGGAAGCCTGGCCCAGGAGGAGAACTGGGCTGGGAGTTATTGTACACAGGTAGGTCAAAAGCCTCCCAGAGAGAGTGCTAAGCCACTAGGCCAGCACTGAGGAGACAAACCTGGAAAACAGTAATTTTGAGCCATAAATGGAGGACATAGAGATTTAGGAAAGAATGGTGTTGAGAAGACCAAGGGATACACTGAGAGAAAGAAGTAGGGGAAATTGCCAAAAGCTGCAGAAAGATGTCTGGACCGTTTCCTGGGTGATGATTGAAACATTATTACATTTGTGGGTCCTGTTGTGTAATGTCATGCTCTTATCCTGGGTTATGTTATCTTATTTTGTGTTGATAGCTGCAGGGACTACTGGAAGGTGCCCCATAGTTGGAGAAAGTAGGATCTTAGTTTCTCTTGTCCCTGGTCCCTTCCTCTCTCTCTCATTCCCTCCCCACTCCCTCTCTCTCTGCTTCCCTGCTACCTTGCACTAAGCAGCTTTCTTCCCCCATACCCTTCCGCCATGATGTTTCTGCCCTAAAGCCAGCTGACCAAGGACAGAACTCTGAAACTGTGAGCCAAAACAAACCTTTCCTCCTCTAAGTTGTTCCTGTCAGGTACTTGGGCACAGAGAGGCCAAGAGGAGAAAAGGGTGCTGCTCTGCAGGAGGGTGAGATCAGAGAGCCTCCTGATCTGCCTTTAGGGCTGTCATTAAAAGTGGGTATGGTAGGCAGAATAACAGACACCCAAAGATGTCCATGGCCTAACCCCTAGAACCTGGGAATATGTTACCGTGTGTGACAGAAGGGGCTTTCAAATGTGATTAAACTAAGGATCTTTACTCTGGAGGAGGTGGTCCTGGATTATCTGGGTGGTCCAATGAATTATAAAGTCCTCTTGAGTGGGAGGCAGATTCCTTCAGGGTCAAAGAAGAAAATGTGATTCTGGAAACAGAGGCTGGGTGAGGTAGTGTCAGGAGCCTAGGAGCATGGGCAGAGAGCCTCGGGAAACTGGGTCCTTGAAGTTAGCATGGATTCTTCCTTGCTCACTCCTCCTTAGATTGCTTCCTTTGTGGAAAATCAGCCACCATGTTGTGAGATATCCATGTGCAGGAAAACCGAGGCCTATAGCCAATAGCCTGGTGAGGGAGGAGCTGGGAATGGACTTCCAGCCCGTCTAGCCTTCTGATGACCACAGCCCCTGCTGGCCTCCTGATGTAGCTAGCAACTACTCTTGCATCTTGAGCTGGCCTCAAGTGCTCCCACCGGCCCAGGCTGAGGTTGGAAGGCAGAGGAGTTCTACGGTGAGATATTCAAGTAGTATATGACTGAAAAGCTACTTTAGCTCATATGATCTTTTCCTGGTAAATAGAGAAAGGAGATATGTTATTTCTAAGAATGTATTAAGAATGTATTAGTTATCTATTACTGTGTAACAAATTACCCCAAATTTTGGTGGCTTTAAACAACAAACATTTGTAGTCTCACATTTTCTGTGGCTCAGGAATTTGGGGCTGCCTGAGCTGAGTGATTCTGGCTCAGAGTCTCCCCCACATCAGGAGGCCAGCAAAGGCTATGGTCATCGGAAGGCTAGATTAGGCTGGAAGATCCATTCCCAGCTCCTCCCTCACCTGGCTATTGGCTGTAGGCCTCGGTTTTCCTGCACATGGAGATCTCACAATATGGTGGCTGACTTTCCACAATGGAAGCAATCTAAGGAGGAGTAAAGCAAGGAAGAATCCATGCTACCTTCAAGGACCAAGTTTCCTGAGACTCGCATCATCATTTCCACTTCATTCTATTTATTAGAAGCAAGTCCTAAGTCCAGGACATACTCAAGGGAAGAGGAATTTGGTTCCATTTCTTAAAAGGAGGAGCATAAAAAATTGTACATATATTAAAGCCATTATAAAGAATATTAACCCCAAGACTATAACAATTCAGAGGCTGAAGTCTCACTGGGTGCACTGAAGTGACGTGAAGCACATTAAATATACAATTTTACCTATGCAAATAATGTTTTTAAAGGATGGCAGCTGACTTTGGCAGCTCTCATATCCTTGCTTACTTTTATAAAGTAGGCAAATACTCTTTGCATTCTTATTTTCGTTGTTACAAGTCAGGATGAAAAACTGACATGTTCAGAAAACTCATCTCTTAACAAAGTGCCATTTTCAAATAGTTCCGTTAAAAGTACTTTTAATAAACATAATGTAATGATTTTTTAAAAAATCCCTAGTACTGCATATCATATTATATTTATGATTTGGAGTTTTCTTTTTATGATGTCCTCGGCATGTTAAACTTACTGCCTGTTGAATATATGTGTAAATGATAAGTTCAGGGAACTTAAAAGTCAGGCTAAAGATGCCTCAGAAACACAGAAATTCTTAAATCTTTTCAGAACTTTCTCCCTCCTCTTTCTCTTCCTCTTTTTTCCCTTCCACCTCTCCTTTTCCTTATCTCCTTCTCTCTCCATTCTTCTTTAACATTTGTTTTAATCACCAGGTTCTAAAAAATTACTGCCGAGATCTGATTTAACATCATTCCTTTTTTTTTTTTTAAAGAGAGAGGAGGGAGAGAGAGAGAGAATTTTTAATATTTATTTTTTAGTTCTCGGCTGACACAACATCTTTGTTTGTATGTGGTGCTGAGGATCGAACCCGGGCCGCACGAATGCCAGGCAAGCGCACTATCGCTTGAGCCACATCCCCAGCCCCAACATCATTCCTTTCTTACAATAATTAGTCTATACCCAAATGTTTTGGATAAAACACACTTAACCTGACCCTGTTCATTCACATGCTTGTAACCTTAACTACGTCATTTTTCTAAGCAGCTAGAAATCTTAATTAAACCTAGCAGTTTTTCTTCTACAATATTTCTGCTATATTTAACTTTCCTTTTATTTCTTTTAAAATAGAGAATCTTTATTTTGCCTTTTATTGGGATTGTATCTTTTATGGTCTTTTTTTTTTTTTAAAGAGAGAGAGAGAGAATTTATTTATTTTTTTCTTAGTTTTCGGCGGACACAACATCTTTGTTGGTATGTGGTGCTGAGGATCGAACCTGGGCCGCATGCATGCCAGGCGATTGCGCTACCGCTTGAGCCACATCCCCAGCCCCCTTTATTGTCTTTTTATGGAGAGGCAGCCATTTTAATAATAGTAATAGTTATTATTATTTTTGAGACAGACCTCATTATGTTGCCCAGGCTGGCCTTTATCTCCTGGGATCAAGTGCTCCACGTGGCTCAGTCTCCCAAGAAGCTGCGTCCAGAGGCACACGTTGCTGCACCCAGTGAAGCAACCACTGTAGATTGATGTGCTGGGGCCCAATGTCACATGAAGGTCACAGCCCCTGTGGTCCCGTTTTAGAAGAAATGCTCCACTGCTCTGAATGCTGACAGGTGCTCAGCAGGAGTCAGACTTCCATTCCATAATTTGTCCTGAGGTTAAATGAAAATGACACTCTGTATTTGGATACAACACTGAACAAAGCGCTCCATGGGCCTTGTCCGCGTGCCAGCGCGTCAATGCTGTGAAGTAGGAGCATCATGATATTCTCCTTTGAAGGCTCAAATGGACAAAGTGACTTGACTAAGAAGGCCTGAGACATGTTGGCTATCACTCAACAGATAAATAGTTGGATGTTATTCCAAAGACCTGGACCTTCCCAGTGTCCCAGCCAACTTAATTCCCTCCAGTGTGTCAGATGAAGCTCTCAGAGGCGTGCTGTGGAGTACAGGAGAGGAGGGGAGACTTGGTGTCACAAGGACTCTAAATGGTGGAGGCAGTGGCTGACTAAGTCTGAGTCCACTCAGGAGATTGAAGCCCCATGGCAGGCTGGTTAGGGAAGATGAACGTGAAGAATTGTTGATTGTGCCAAGGCAGGAGGAAACTCTATTCAGCGCCCTAGAGTCAGGGGGCCATCTTGCAATGGGTTCAGTCTCCTTGCAGAAGGGGCAGTTTGGCCCACCAGGGAGCAGAGAAGTCTACTATTTGATAGAGCTGGTCTGGAGTAGCTGGGCAGGCACTGGCCACCATGCAGAGTGCAGGTGGTGCCCTGGGAGGTGGGGCGCACAGTGGGAATCTGGGCCCCAGATGGGGCGGAGGACCTGGCGTGCAAGCTGTGTGGGGCCAGGTTGGGCTTGCAGAGGGGGCAGCTGTTGTACATGAGACCCTCTTTCACGGGCAGAGGCCTTCAGAGTGTGCAGGACATGTGGGGACTCTAGTGACTGTGTCAAGAAGCCCAAGGGAAAGGTTATCACTGAGCTGAGACACTGAAGTCTGCTTCTCAAAACTCTAAGAACTAATTCAGCAATAATTTAACTCCCACTTGTAAGACACTTATTAACTCTTTATTTTTAACAAAAACTTATTGAGAACCTACAATGCCCTAGGCACCAAGTTAGTTAACTACTGTTTCCAAGGTAATATGCCAAAGAGATGGCAGAAATAAAGACATATATCTGGCTCTCAAGATACCTAGGATCTCAACATGTGGACCAATAGACTAGGAGAGAAAACCCAGAAATAGTAGCCCACAAATATGATTCATAACTTTGTAACTTCGTTTGACAAAGTTACAAAGAGAATCCAACAGAAGAAGGATAGTTTTGTCAACAGATGTTGCTGGAGCAGTTGGCTGTCCATGGGCAAATGAGCTTTACCCTCAACCTTCCACTTCACACAAAAATGAGCTCAAAATAGATCCCACAGTTAAAAGTAAAACATAATCCTAAAACATGATTAGGAAAACCACAGGAGGAACTCTCTGGAACCCAGGAGTGGGTGAAGTGTTCTCAGCTTCAACAGCAAAAGCACAATATATAAGGAGAAGGACTGAGGAGTTGGATGCTGTCCAATTAAAACCTTTTGCTCTGAGAAAAAGCAGAAAAAGAGGATGGACAGACAAGGAGTGTGGAGTCTCGCATTCAGAAAAACAAGACTCCAGAAGCCCAGGTGGTTCAGGAGAACACAGGAAGACAAGATCCATTTCAGCCCTGGGACTCTGAGAAGTCTGATGAGGGAAGAACCTAAATACGACTTGAAGAATAAACGCAATAAAATGACCCAGGAGGAAAAAGAGCATGCAAACACGAGTGAGCAAAAGCTAAAGTGCAGGGCGTCTACATGGGATGCTCCAAGACCCAGGGCAGCTCAAGGTGAACAGGAGGGGAGGGCAGGGAGTGAGCCTGCCACAGGGTTGGGGACAAACCGTGTAACCAGTGTGGTAGTGACATAGCCCTGCTTCCAAATAGTTCAAGCTAGAAATTGGTAAATACAAAGAGAGGGACAGTTCTGACAGCTTGAACTCCAGGTGTCAGAAGGATGGGATTCAGCAAGACCATCCTGAGAGATGCCCCTCTCCTCCAAGAGGCAGAGTCTGGGGGCAGGACCAGCCAGGAGCCTATGCTGCCTCACATCCTGTGCTAACCTGTCCTGCCTGAGTCTGTCTTGTTCCTTTGGTAGCCTGCTTCTTCCTTGCATCTTCCCCCAGTTCTCACACTGAGGGCAGAACTGAAAATAGCTTACCTGTAGCACAATCTCAGGGTGTGGGGGGTGGATTATATCCAGTTCCGTGCAAGGTAAGAGCCACCCCTACTTCCTGTCTCAACCACCTTGCAGGTTTTGGCTTTGGGGGGAATAAAACAGAAAAGTAGGTCAGTTAGCAAGTGATTCATGAAATACTTGCTCAAGAAACACATCTCAGTAAATATTTTTCAAATCCGTGGATAAACTGGGATTAAAAACAAAAATCACTTTACTCTGACCATTAGAATTTCATATGTGTCATAAGTGTCTGGTATTAAATTTTATTTCATTGCTAGTTTCTTCCAAGTGGTCTTGCTGGTACCTTCACAGTAAAAGTCCATCTGCTCAGTTCAAGGAGCATTTCCTCATTTAAATGCAATTAAGACTGCAATCTTTTAACAACCAGGGAGAAGTTTGCTGGATATTCATCTAGTTCTAATCTCTTAGGAAAAGATTCCGACGTGGAGCTGTAGTGGTTTAGCATGCACGGGGTCCTGGATATATTCCCAGCACTTATCAAAAAAAAAAAAAAATAGTAGTTTAGTAGGCTATTGGGAGATAGTGGGTAGGGGAAAAATAATAGTGTAATTGACAAAAGAAGGGGAAAGATTACCAGCCACTAGGAGGAAAGTTGAGCTGTTCTTCTGGATATTGAGTTGCAGTTTTCTACCCATCCCTTATCTCTCACTTCCCTACCAATATTTGTAATTCTTGTTCTCGCCAGGCTATTTCCCTCTTATTTATCTGTTAAGTTTGCAGAAGGGACTTGAAGACTGAGAGTGTTCTCAGAGAAGCCCAATGCCTGCTAATGACCGTGTTGCTGCTGAGATGGAACAGTGGGTGATGACTACATTTCTGGGACATTATCAGCAAAAATAGTAAGTAGCTCTCATGGTGCAATGAGAGTTTGGTTTCTGAATTTCTTCTATCAGCAGAACTAGCCAGCAGTTATTAATCCAGATCCCAACTCTGAATTAAACACATCCTTTTAAAAAAAAGGTCAGAGAAATTATGTAAATTCTCAAGATGTCACTTCACTTGTCACCCACAGAAAAATTACTTGGGGAATAAGCAATTTTTCCCACAAAATGATAATATAATACGTTTTTTGGTGGTGGTTGTTCTTATCCATTAATTGAGGACTCCAGGCTGCAGGTTCCTTCAGTCTCCTTATTCTATTTGAGTAAAAAGCAGTTAACCACGTGGGATGATGCACACCTATAATCCCAGCAGCTCCGGAGGCTGAGGCAGGAGGATTGAGAGTTCAAAGCCAGAGGTGCTAAGCAATTCAGTGAGACCCTGTTGCTAAACAAAATACAAAAAAGAGCAGGGGATGTGGCTCAGTGCTTAAGTGCCCCTGAGTTCAATCCCTGGTACCAAAAAAAAAAAAAAAAAAAAGCAACTGACCACCCCATAAATTGGCACATACCTGTAATCCTAGCAACTCAGGAGGCTGAGGCAGGATAGAATTCTGAGACAGTCTCAGCAACTTAGTGAGACCCTGACTCAAGATAAAAAAAAATTAAAAACAGCTAGGAATATGGCTCGGTGGTTAAGAGCATCTGGGTTCAATTCCAAGTACAAAAAAAAAAAAAAAAGGCAACTGATTTTATGGAACATGAAAACTAAGATCTAAGGTCATTGCGATTTCTTGATGCTCTGTGCGTAATATTTCTTTAAAATATTTACTTCCACAAATGGTGTTGATGAGCTATAAAGTTTTTCCTGGCAAGAATATGCTCTGACCTGGAAAACACACTTCATTATTCATGACTAGAATATTCTCTCCAACTTATGCCAATAAAAACGTGAAATAATCTAAGATACGCTTTACCCGAATTACATGAGCACGGGCATGTGAGTGGTAGCTTCGAAACTTACACTCTGTGATTTGGAATTGATGAGGAAAGTTCAGGGTGAGGGAGTTTTTCAGAGGTCTTTTGCCCGATGTTTATGAAAAAAGAAAAGAAAAATCTCCAGACACTGTGAGGGTAGAGAGAAGAGGCTGAGAAAACTTCAGAGTCTGACACTGAATCAGGAGTCTGGGGAAGTGATTAATATTCCTCAGCCAAAGAAAAAGGAAGGACAAGCCGGGCACGGTGGCATATGCCTATAATCCCAGCAGCTCGGGAGGCTGAGGCAGGAGGATCAAGAGTTCAAAGCCAGCCTCAGCAATTCAGCAAGGCACTAAGCAACTCAGTGAGACCCTGTCTCTAATAAAGTATTTAAAAAAGGGCTGGGGATGTTGCTCAGGGGTTAAGCGCCCCCCATGTTCAATCCTGGTACCAAAAAAAAAAAGGACATTCCCAACAAAGGAAGCCAACGGGAGTGCCCATGCTGTCTGGGAACATCTGTGTGACCGCACCATAAGGTCTACTAAGAGATAAACATTCTGAACAAAGAGGACTCTCAATAAAGAAATTGGCTGTCCATAATGTGGGTGGTCCTCGTCCTAGCATCGAAGATCTTTTTAAAGCAAGGTCTACACTTCCCTAAGCCTCCTGATGGTCTTAGACTTGAACTGCAATGTTGGCTCTTCCATGGGGGGCCAGCCTGCAAACCTACCCTGCAGATTTTGGACTTGCCAGTCTCCATAATCACATGAGTCCTGAGTCAATTTCATAAAATAAATATCCATCTATCTATTGGTTAATGGATCCATCCATCTCTATTGATTTTGTTTCTTTGGAGAACCCTAACTAGTGGTTCTATTTAAATCTATTTTAAAATGTCTTCAAGAAACCTACCTGTGCAAGAAGAGAAATGACATTCACATCTTGTTGAGGAGCAGGAGAGGATTTTACTAAGGAGATTGCATTCAAGGTGGGCCCAGAAGGATGGATTCTACTGGGGTAAGCAGTGGCTGGGGAAGAGCAGCTTATATGGAAGGTGGAGTTGCACGAGAGAATGCTTGGGGCCAATCAGGCATTCCCAGGATCCAGTTTGGATCTAGTGTGATATCTATTAGAAATTAAAGGGGACAATCTGGAAGAATTTATCCATTGGAATCAAATTTTAGATGATGTTTCAAGGTTAGGATTCAGGAGTTTGTGGTTTTTTCAGTAGGGAACAGGGAATTATTAAAGGCCTTTGAGCAGGAAAGTGAAATGACTGTGTTTCATAATACAAGCAATTCCAACTAATGCATAAATTGGATTCCAATCATTCCTCTACTATGTGCCAGGCGCTATGCTAAACGCAGTGGATGTAGTAACAAAAGACTGTCTCTGAAATCAAGGGGCTCACAATCTATGAGGGAGTTGGAGATAGACAAGGGAACAATTAAATGCAAGAAGATAAATTCTTCATTGAGAACAGACACAGGATGCAAGAGAATCACAGACACCTAGTTCCAATATGGGTGGTTGAGGTATGAAGGGTCAGAGAGAGCTTCCTTAAAGGAGAGATTTTAGGACAATTTCTGGAACTCTGAATGGTTTCTCATGGAGACAGTTGAACCATTTGAAAATGAATTGCAATCTCATGTGATCCAACCTAATCCAATGTTAGATGGTGTTTAGGTCCCCCAGGATGGACCTCCAAAGACCACTTAATTCAGGACTGACAATAGTATTTTCCAGGTTCCAAAACATCTGAAACTATATATTCAAATTTTAAATCTTTCAGCGCCTTTCCAGTCTTCCCTTCTTTTGCTGAAGTCTCCTCTTCCCTGAATCTCTGACCTGAGGTTTTCAACCTTCCCTGAGGCTCTCAATGTTTCAGCAAAACTTGATTTGCTCCAAACTTTTTGCATTTTTAGGTTTTACTGATCCTAAGAAGGCAATATGATTCAACTTGGTGGTGCTAAAGTACAAATGATCACCAAGCCCTCTTACCCTCTCAGAACAATTTGCGCTCTTCAGAAATGCTAATTAGGAATTGTTTGTGTATTCTAGCAATAAAAACAAGCCCTTTGTGTATTTGCTTGAATAAGTGATTTAGAAGTCAGAAACTGAGAGCTGGGTTTGGTGGCAGCACCTGCAGTCTCAGCAAGTTGGGAGGCTGAAGTGGGAGGTCAGCCTGGACCTTGTAGCCAGAGCCTGTCTCTCAGGAAAAAAAAAAAAAAGAAAAAAAAGGAAAGAAAGTCTTAGAGTTGGGAAGGTGAGGTCTACCAATTTTGTGTTCCCCATGAGGATTGTTTGACTTAGGTAAGTTTCTGCTTCACATTTCACATCTAGTTACCTCTAAATAGCATTAAAATCTTGTTTCTTTGGCATTTGATGGGCCAAAATGAGCTATGATTTTTTTTTCTAATGAATTAACATGGAAGATTTAAACACTTGCTTCTTCAAAACCAGTTTATGTCTCTTTGAAATGGAAGAAAAACACTGCTTCATGTTTTTCCTGTTTCTTCTGAACACTTACCTGGTTGAATTACACAGTTACAACTTATGTACAGCTATTTTTCTAAGAGGAACCAGATTTTTAAAAATCGTGAATAATGTACATTTCATGATATGGATTAAAAAAACATTTAATTAAAAAATCTGGAAACTGTTTGATACTGGGATTGTCAAGTGAAGCACCTCTGTTGGATCTGGCCCCTCTGAGGGATTCTGAGGAAAAGCTCACTCCAGGCACCATTCTGTCACCACAGGGGAGGAGAGGGGCAAAATGTCTTCATATGCCAAAAGAAGAAATACCCAGACTCCTTTTCAATTTCAATGAATTCTCCAAGAAATGTTCAGAAAAATGGAAGCTCATGTCTGTAAAGGAAAAGTTAAAGTTCAAAGATATGGGGAAAAGTGATAAAGTTACTATGTCAGGGAGATGAGAAATTACGTTCCTCCCAAAAGTGATAAAAAAGATCTGATGTTCTCAAAAGACCACCATCTGCCTTCTTTCTGTTTTGCTCTGAACATTGCCCAAAGATCAGAGGAGACACCCAGACCTCTCCATTGTGGATGCTGCAAAAAAAAAAATTGGGTGAAATGTGTCTGGAACAATCCATCAATGAGAATCATCCAGATAAGCAAAAAGAGCTAAGCTAAAGGGGAAATATTAAAGCACATTGCTGCATACTGAGCCAGAGGCGAGAGTGAGGTAAGAAGAAAGGGCTGGGCAGGGGAACGGGCTCAAAGGAGAAGGCACCAGAGGAGGAGGAAGAGGTTGAAGATGAACACGGGCTGTCCTGTACTGAGGGCATGGTGTGTGTCTGCACTCAGGCCACAGTGAAGAAGGGGAGTTCAAGTGCAGCTGATACTTGCTTCAGTATAAAAACTGATTTTTAGAACTGGGGATGTAGCTCAGAGGTAGTACTTGCCTCGCATGCCCAAAGCCATGGGTCCAGTCCCAAGTACTGCAGAGAAAACAAAAGTAACAGTAAAAGCTACTGATCTTTGTATAGCTGATAAGATTCTTTGAGGAGAAAATATTTTTTTTTAAAAAAATTCAGGCTGTATTTAGTGAAATCCTAAGCAACTTAGTGAGACCCCATCTAAAAATAAAAAAATAAAAAGGGCTGCAGTTGTGGCTCGGTATTTAAGTGCCCCTGGGTTCTATCCCTGGTACAAAAAACAAAAACAAAACAGGTTGCAGTTTTTTTGTTTGTTTTTAAGGGATTACTACACACAGTTCGGGTTTAAAACTTCTGATGTTAAATGCTTTGAAATATTTAGTGGTTTCTTGATTTGTGGTAACAAGCAAACCTTTAGGAATTAGTACCAATAATAAATTTTGGGTTTTGGGGAATGTTGTATTTTGTACAACATTTACATATTAATATAAATGTATATATTTATATTAATTATATATTAATGATTATATTAATATATTAGTATATATTTAAGATTTATAATAAAATTGTGCATACAAAAATCCTCATTCTTTTTTTAAATATTTTTTTAGTTGTAGACAGATACAATACCTTTATTCATTTTTATGTGTTGCTGAGGATGGAACCCACACATGCGAGGCAAACCCTCTACCAATTGAGCTACAAACCCAGCCCCTCTTTCTTAATTACACTATTTCAAAAACAAGGTTTATTGGAATATATCATAATGCTTAATTCTGGAAGCTTTAAACTCTAGCAGGGGAAGGAGTGGGAATGGTTCCTTAACTCAGTGGTTGCCAACTGGGTTCACCAGACTGGCCTTAAGTCATCACAGAATCATCGTCACCAGCAGCAGTAATATTATTGTTTCATTTTTTAAAAACTCTTTATGAAATAATTTTTTAAATTTTAAATTTTTGTGGTGCTAGGACTTGAACCCAGTACCTCGTGCACACTGGGCAAGCAAAGCGCTCTACCCCTGAGCTACGTCCCCAGCCTGAAATACTACCATCATCTTTTGAGGCATGGAGAATTTATGTAACTTGCTCAAAGTTACCCAGTTAATGAGTAGTGAAGCCAGGCTATGAATTCTGGCAATTTCAAATCCCCTTCCTGCTCTTTCCCACCCAATTTTGATTTACTGGGTCTGGAATGGGGCCCCTGGAATATTGTCTTTCAGAATCAAGGGATTCTAAAGCAAAGTCAGGTTGGAAACCATCCTGTTAAATTTATTTACTTTGCATTGGATGGTTATTTCCTTGCCTGGGTCTGAAAAATAATGGCTCCTAGGCCCAGGCAAGTGACTCAGTGCCCTTTGATTTAGGAGTAAACAAACATGCTCTGGACAAGCTGCAGTGTTCTCCAGGCACAATGCTGCAGTGGCTGGGACACTTCAGGGAACAGCCCTTCTCCCCAAGCACAGACCTCCTAGTTTAAAGTGCACATGGAAGGCCAGGGGGCACACCTGCTGGTGGCACTCAACTGAAATCCCAGCCACCCTGAAGCCTGAGGCAGGGGAATTGCAAGTTTGAGGCCAGCCTCAGCCACTTAGTCTCAAAATAAAATTTAAAGAGTCGGGAATAAAGCTCAGTGGTAGAGCACTTACTTAGCATGTATGAGACTCTGGTTGAAACCCCAGTACTATTCAGGTGTGGGGGGAGGGGAGGCACAAGTGAGAGTTGGCAGTGAGGGAGAGGTCAAAAAGCAGATGGGCTTCCTGGGAGGGAAAGGGAGCAGGATCTTGAAAAGCAAGCATGATTCGAGATAGAAATGAGAAGGCAGGAACTGTATCTATTTACTAAGGGTTCAAAGGGAAGCAAGCATTCACCAGTGGTGATTCAAGGCTGGAACGCATGGGCCATGAGTGTGTCCAATGGGATTGGATGGAGCCTTGAATTCCTTTTAGGAGGTATCTGGGAACTAATACAATTGGAAAAGTAAGTTAGGACAAGATATAAAACCTTAAGTGATGGGCCAGAACTTGGACTGAACCCTATCAACAATGGGGAGCCACTGAATTTTAAAAGGACAATGAAGTAATGAATGTTTCAGTTTAAAGGAATAATCTACAGTTGTTACTATGTAGGGGAAAGGATAGGTGATATACCAGAACTGGAAAAACCATTTGAAAGATTATAGCAATGATACCAGTGGAAGAAAGTGTCTTATAACATAGTGGACACACTCAGGTCAGGTTATGCCAAGGACTGAGCTTGGTGATTTGGAGCAAATTCCCTAACACCTTTGAGCCTTGGGTTTTTTCATTGGAAAACAGGTGTGATAATGATGATGTCTTTGAAGACTGAGCCAAAATAAACAAAGGATTTCCCTGAGTTGGCAATGGTTCTGGGATGCCAGGTGAATGGGTCAGGATTTTGAGTTGCTTTCCAGGCCTGTATGACTTAGAAAATGAATGTTATGAGTATCAACAGATGCCCATGGGCCTCCACTCTGTGGAAAATGAGGAAGGGAAGGGAGCTAACAATGAATGATCCAAGATTATAATGGAATAACACCCTTGAGAGGTAGATACTTTTTTATCCCTAATTTACAGTTCACTGAACTTGACCAAAAAATTTTTGAGTCTGGGTAGAAACCAAGGTCCACCTAAATCTAAAACTTGAGATTTTTTCCAACTACATCATATTTTAGACTTGTAAAGTGATATTTTCTTTCACTGATTTTGGTCTAATATTCTATTCTTTTAAGACTGTTTTGAACTTTGATTCCCATTAAATTAAGAATCCTTCCTTGGGGCTGAGGCTGTAGCTCAGTGGTAAAGTGCTTGCCTCACATGTAGGAGGCACTGGATTCAATCCTCACCACCGCATAAAAAATACATAAAGATATTGTGTTCATCTACAACTAAATAAATATTTTTAAAAAATCCTTCCGGGGGCTGTGGTTGGTAGAGTACTTGCCTAGCATGTGTGAGGCACTGGGTTCGGTTCTTAGCACCATATATAAACAAATAAATAAATAAAGGTCCATCAATAACTAATATAAATTTTTAAAAAATTAAGAATACTGGGCTGGGGATGTGGCTCAAGCAGTAGCGCGCTCGCCTGGCATGCGTGTGGCCCGGGTTCGATCCTCAGCACCACATACCAACAAAGATGTTGTGTCTGCCGAGAACTAAAAAATAAATATTAAAAATTCTCTCTCCCTCTCTCACTCTCTCCTCTCTCACTCTCTCTTTAAAAAAAAAAAATTAAGAATACTTCCAAACTTTGGGTCATCTAAGAGACATGGATTTATGAGATAGGGGAGAAAGACAAGGGAAGGAGGTTCTGAGTGGAAAGAGAACACATGGTCTTGTCCTGATGGGTAAGAGGCCAGCTTATCTGCCCAGAGCAGACACAATCTGGTTGTGAAGTGGTCATGAGTAGATCAAATAAGTCTAGCTGCTAAGAGGAACAGTTCAGACAAGTGGAGAGTAAAGGAGAGAGCGTTAGGAATCAGGATGAGGGCAGTGAGAAGGGGAGAGGGTATGCTGCTGGGCTAAGTACTAACTAAGGACAAACAGAAGGTAAGGGAACATTAACCCACTCAGCTCCCATATTCGGCTGTGGGAAGTCACGGAAAAGATCACATAGTAAGATCACATGGTAAGGTGGGAGGAGAGGGCTTAGAGAAGATGGAGATGAGGGACACAGAGGTTCCAGCAAAGGGCAGAGACTGGGATATTTAAAAACCTATATGTTGCTGAGCACAGTGGCATGCGCCTGTAATCCTAGTGACTCAGAAGGCTGAGGCAGAGGGATTGAAAGTTCAAGGGCAGCCTCAGCAATTTAGGGAGAACTCTGCTTCAATTAAAAAAAAAAATTTTTTTTTTTTTTTTAAAGGCTGTGAATGTAGCTCGGTGGTAGAGTGCCCTTGGCTCAATTCCCAGTACAAAACAAAACGGCCATATGCACATGGGATGGCGTTGTCCACAGGAATAAATCCGATAAACCTTCCATTTTTAAACTCCAGCATTAATTGAAGAATCATATAATTTGGACACAGGTAAATACAACAATACTTTTTTTTTGGTGGTGGTGGGGGGCGGGGGAAGCTACTGGGGCTTGAACCCAAGGCCTCACACATGCTTGCAAGCACTCTACCAGGGATTGACATTCCCAGCTACCCACAAAAAAATATCTCTAAAGATACTTAACAAAAGTTGACAAAAGCCACATTTCTCTCCAAGGAACTACATACCAGTGGGATGGTTCTTCTGCAAGAAACCCAAGTTACTTAGGACACAGCGAGGACCCTGGGCCGCCCCCTGCTCTGGCAGGGGGTCTCCGCAGTGTTCTCATTTGCAGAGAACAGGAAGTCGCATCCGCCACATGTCTGACCCAGACGACGGGCTATCTGAACTCCTGCCCTGCTCCTGTCCATGGAATCGCGGAGCCAGGGCATCGGAGCACCTGCCTCCACCTAGGTGCGGGTTAAGTCCACTCTCTCCCCAGCTCGTCACCACAGGAAGCCCACTGGCTAGTCGTGCTGCCAAAACTCCCACTTAGTTTGAATATTCCAAAGCCCCCATCATGATTTAATTTCCAACCAGTGATAGTAACTACTTCCGACTACACGTGAAAACAGCGCAGGCCACCCCTTTGTGGCATCAAAGCCTCCAAGTCTAGCCACCATCTCTTCTGACTAAGGGTAAGCTGAGTTTTTGTTAAAACTCGCCAAAAACGAGTCGGCTAAAGAGTTTAGAGAGGGAAGCCTGGTTCAGTCCTTTTGGAGAAAGCGTTAGAAAAGGCGGGACACACACTTGCAGGTGAGCCCGGGTCTCTGGCGGCCCGGCGGCGGGCAGGTGCGGGTAGGGGCCCGGCGCGGCTCTCGGAGCCTGGCCCATTTCTGCGCGTCTCGGGCTTCCTCGGCTCGGCCGGGGTCTGTCGCCCGGAGCGGAGGCACAAGGCTGGGTGCAGTTGCGTCCCTTGCCAGCTCGGGCTGTGTGCGCGCAGGGGCGGCGGAAGCCCCTCTCCTTCGGGAAGTTTCTCCCGGACCCGGAGCCCCCCGCCCAAGG